GTTTCCTCTAGCTTCATATAAAAATCTGTATAGAGACATTCATTTAAAATATCTTTTTTAGTACTCATGTACTTGACCTTCCGCCTCTCTCAAAACCAGTAGCAGCAAGAAGGAAATTAACAAAAACTCTGATAAACAATAAAAACAAAAGAAAAGGACTTTTTGACACATACAACAGAGAAATGAAAGGCTTCCCAGTAGTCCTAAAGGACCTTAATTTTAACTACTTTTAGTTAGGTTTGATTAATACAAAGAATGGGCAACAACAGGGAAAAAAAAAAAAAATGGGCATAACTCCCATGTATAAACACAGCCTAATGTGAAACAAAGACTTTCTACTAAAACTGCTTGACATTCTGTAAAAAACAAACAAACAAACAAAAAACCAACCAACAAACAAACAAAACCCCCCCCCATGCTAGAATGAATAAAAAACAATTGGAAAGATAGAGAAAAAGCTAACATTTCAGAATATATTCAGAATATTAAACTGCAAGATTTACAAGCAGCATTTTGAATAATTTAATTATTAATTTCACTGAAATTAATATATGTTGCAGATCTGATTCCATTGTGATTTTCACACTGTGAATGCTAGATTAACAATGATGAGATAATCTGTTTTTCGAAGACAGAGCTCCTTTTTCTGTTAAATGCAGTATTATCACAACTCAGCCTATCAGAAGAGATTTTAACTCTAAAACATAAAATAGGGATCTTAATGAACCACAGAAACCAAGATTAAGATTATAGACCATTTTGATTTAAATCCATTCCCTTTGAAGTCAAAGGTAAAACTATTATTGTTTTTAACAAGAGAAAACACAATGGTGAGAAAAACTTAATATTTAATCAAAAAAAATCCTTAAATTATTTTCAGAAGAAACTCCACAACATATTGATTGATGTAGGTGTATAAAAAGAATCTGAAACACAAATTTGTCTCTTATTGTGGCTAGATTTTACATAATCTAAATTTAAAAAAAAATCTTTCAGCATAAGAGAAGTGAAATAGTCTGAAAAATTTCACATGAGAATTATGTTTCATTTTGGATAAATAAAGGCAAATTGAAAATGTGTAGAAGGAAACTGAGAATAAAAACTAAAATTGAGGATAAACTGAAGATCAAAATGATCAAGGCACTGAAACCAAATCTCTTATGGATTGTGATTAATGGAAGTAATTTTTTTTTAAAGTTCAGTGTATAGGTAGAATAATCATATTTCTATTGTGTATGAATATAATGTAATCAAAAGGAAGTTCTGGGAATAGAATTAAAATTCAATTTTTAAGTTCATTAGGTATCTGTGTAGGAGAACTGAATGCTAATGTCTATATTTAATTGTAATTATAATTCTAAAATCTTCTTGGTTTGGTCTCGGAGGCTTATGCTTATGTGAAGAAAAATTTGTAGAGAGGCAATATCTTTTATTCAACAAGTTGTTATAGTCGAGAAAAATGGACTTGGTTGTCCGTGAAATAAATACTATTTGTCATTCAAAAGTCAACTGACTGTGGAAAATTAATATTGAAGATTTTGCAGATTATTTTAAATTAGAACAGAGAAGCATATAAAAAGTTTTAAACCAGAACTTCAGAACTGAAGTTTGTTTTCTGTCAGGAAACAAAGATCTCCATGCTTGCTGATGCTGTTAGAAGGAAAGACACATTCAAATCATATGTCCCAAGTAGGAAGCTGTATATACTTTTCATCTCAAACGGTTTCAAAAGTTTCCACTAGGGAAACTCTTTTAAATACAAACAGAATTTCTTTCCAAAGTTGCTAGTGACAGAGGAATGAGAGGTTTCTGCTTTTGGAACATGAAATGTTTCCTAAAGGATCATCAAGTCTTTAAAGAAGTTGTATACTTGGTAGTCCTGTTTCCAGAGTCTGTGCCTCCCTGAACAGCAAAATTTCATATTCCATTAGTGGCCTTAGGATTCTAACTGTTACATCTGAGGAGAAAGAAAGCATCAATGTCAAATCTACTGCCAAGGCCTAAGCTCAAAGTATCATTAATGCCAGAAATTATCAACTCTAAAGGGAAGCAAAGATGACACTAGTATATTTACCTTATGAACTTTATTAGATCAAATTGTATAATTTTCCTTATTCCACTTGCATTTACTCTGAATTACCTACTTGCAGTTATTTTCAGTCATAAGTGGTAAGTCATTAATTGCCTCTGTAATTGAGCAAAGTTGTGTATGTAAAAGCATCAGAAAGAAATAAAATGTAGCATTTTCATCTCTCTTTAAGTGTTAGACGAGGTTCTATAGACTGTTCTGGTCTTGTTCATCTGTTACATAATCCAGTGAAGGAACAGTATCGATTTTCCAGCTTTTCATGAGTTTCCAACATGCAGAAGATGCATTAAACAATTATATCAGAGCCCACAAGCTTAAATTGAATATACAATTAAGAAAGAATTAGGAAACTGTTCTTTTGACTCGACATTTGCAACAAAGCCCCAGTGCAGCCAAAGGATTGCTTCATGTATAATTAGATCAAACACACAATTTTCCCCTTCAATAGACTCACTTGTAAGATGTGTTTACATGGGAAAGAAGGTACTATTTGAAGTTGAAAAAAAAAAAAAATCTTGTAGGCTCGCTTTTAGTTTTGTTTTTCTTCCTACAGTAGAGCAACAGCTCAGTTATCATGAATGAATCTTGAATATCCAGACTTTTCTACCCCTTCACTTCAGTAAGAACCAAACTGCCTGTTTTAATAAGTCCATAACCATTTGAAGACAAGACTTGAACAGAAAAAAAAAAATTACTCTCTACTTTTCACTTTTAAAAAACACAGTTTAAAAGTGATTAAATGTACTTTGATGTTTCTACAGTTAAAAATCTGGCAGCCATGAAATCTGCTCTCATATTCCCTCCTACTCCTTGTGTAGAGCTGTCCCTTGATCCATTTCTCTACAACGCATTAGTTAGAACAGAACTTACTACTCCACATTCACATATTTATGCCTACAACAGCCTGATTTTTTTTTTTTGTTCGCTGACTGAACATTTTTTATTATTTTATAGGGCATAAATACTTAATCTTTCTTATTTCCAAACTTCTTCAAGTTTGTGATCAACAGAGTATTCACTGTGTAAATCCTTGTTTTCATGAAGTTTTCATTCTTGTTGTCTGATAGAAAAATAATAATTTCACAGTCAGTTAACTTTTACACAGTGCTGACAAAGTCATGGTTGTTTGATGACTACAACACAGGCACCAGCTCTTCCAATATTTAGGGAGGCCATCTGCAGAAAAACAAATACAAATTAACTGAACAGGAACATACCATGCAAGAGATTGCCAAAGTGCTGTGTCAACATTGTGCTAAAATGGTCAAAACTAATGGGAATATAAACCCCTAAAAATAAATACAACCCACAATATCCTAATATTGTAGTATTGAAGTTACTCACATCTGACATTTTTCACTTGAAAGTGAAATTTAGGAACTGTTGATATGCAAGAGGTTTCTATAATCTGTAGACTGTAGCTGATGTCTCTTTAGTCCCTGAGGCAAGGTCAGGGTTACCAATACCAAAATTGCATGGTTCCAATATTCCTAAACAGGTTGAAGTGTCCTTTTGAGTAAATTTGTCAGCTTTAGACACTATTCAACACAACATGAGGTTTAATAACTTTAGAAGACTGGATTTTGCTGAAATTAAAACAGTAGAGTCAGTTTAGATGGTATGTAATAATAATAATAATAATAATAATAGTAATTATAATATACTGTAATTAATGGGATTGTACATATGAAAGCAGAGGATTTACATGCTTCCTAACTATCTGTCCAAACATGGAACATGGTTCTTCATGGGTTGTGGTTTTTGGGATTTTTTTTTTGCTTGTTTTTTTGGGGGTTTTTTGTGGGTTTGTTTGTTTGTTTGTTTGTTTGTTTATTATGTGGACTGTTGGATTTGGGAAAATATTTCCAAATTTATTTCTTATTTCCTACAAAATGTTATAAAAATGGTCTCTTGTAATTTAATTAATAGAAGATAAAAAAAAAAAGATAGGCTTCTTCATTAATTTTACATCATGTATGTCTACCTTTAAGCTTGACAACAGAAGCTCCCCTTTACAATTGTAAAAAGAAATAGGCATTTTTTTAGTACAATGCATCTGGCCTATTTTAAATGCTTATTTTAGTATAAATTATGCTTTCCAAGTATGTACTTTTCTTCACTAACTTTAAAGGGAACTTAGGGTGACTAATTCAAATACAAACATCTACACTGGTGGAACAAATTACTTCTTCAGAAAGTCTTAAAACAGAATTAATGACAGAAAGTGTTGAAATAATCCTTTGTTTCTTTTTAAGGCTTTGCTATGAATCCAAATATTTCCAAGCACTAATGTGACATAGTAAAATACATTCCTTCTACAACCAAATCACCAGTCCCCAGCTTATTGCATTATTCTACGATTTTTATTATATCTATTAAATCTTACATGGTTCAACATTAGGAACATACATACAATTCAACATTTCAAAATATCCATCAAACAGAAGAAAGAGGAATTGAAGAATGAAATAAAAATTGGCTTTCTACATAAAATAAACACATTTTCATGTGAAGGTTATTTAGGATATGCTGGTTATCAATTAAAATTCCAGATCCATTTTGATACTTTTTATGACATTTCTTCTGCATGAAGATGAAAAAAATTAATTCACTATAGAAATTGATCAGAAGAATTTGTCTGAAAGGTAACAAGATAATATTTCTAACAATTGCTTTAACTATCTTTTTCCAGTTTCTTAGGATCTAATTATCTCTTTTTTGCCTTCAGAGGAAACTCCTGATATAATATGTAATAAAATACTACAATCAGTTTTACAGCTATAGTGACCTCATATACAATGCTTTTTTTTTTTTTTTTTTTCCCCAGAAAACCAAAGTTTTTATGTACAACTATCAAAACATGCTACAGACAAAAAATAAATAAATAAATAAATGAATAATTTATTATTACCTGTGTCCATTCATTAGTTTGAGGGTCATACGCTTCCATAGTGTTCAGGTATGTTTGACCATCATAGCCACCTACAGCATATAATTTGTCACCAAGGAGACAGACACCAACAGCATCTCGAGGCATACTCAGTGGAGCCACCATTGTCCATGTATCAGTTTTTGGATCATACCTGAGGAAAGAAAAAGGAAACTAAAAGTCCAGGGAGAAGATAATTGTCAATTCATGCTGACCTTCACTTGAATATAGTCCTTTTTTTTCTTGTGAAGAAAAAAAAAAAAAGAAATCTTTTAGTACTTTAGCCAAAATATTCTTCCTAACAGAAAAGAGAAAACATACATATTTATTATGAGCAATATGTGGATGTATATATATTATTATTTCTATATTTTAAATAGGATATTTCTTGTAGCATATTAAAATATTATGTCAAAAATTATATTATGCTATATTTTAATTTCTAAGATTATACTATACAGTGTTTGCAGACAGAAGATGTCCCTAAAAATTCAGGAGATATGCTTAACTGCATTAGATTCTTCTCCTGGTATTTACTCAGCTGAACAGAGTAGTAGTACTGGTTTTAAGATACAATCACCGTAGATTTTTTTAAAACAGAGAGCATAATTCCTTTTGTATAATGATAGCTATTTAATAATTAAAAATTTAATCTAAATCATAAATTTAGATATTCATTAACAATGTAAAAAATAATTTCAGAAGGCAGAAGCCATTCCATTGTATCTATTTTAGACATCTGTAAAATAGAAATTAATCACCTTTTGATAGTGCCTTTCAGTTTGTTACTAAGGGTGTCTTGAATACTACATTAAACTGGATACCTCATTTGTACATTACAATTGTTACTACAATAGAATATATAAGTGTATAAGTATGATATAATTAATTTAATCTGTCCTTTTACCATCTCTACTATGTGGTAGAATCACTTGATAATCAGTGGAGAAAATCAACAGTTTAAGGATACAAATGCTTTGACTGACTTTAATTATTTGCTTAAGCGTAAGGTAGATCTATAAGGATCTCTATAATGGCTAAAAATCTTACTTATTTACAAGTCTTCTGACTATTATATTGTTAAATAAAATTATGCATCAAACCACTTTTTCCTACACCTTTAAGACAGAGTATTAGTTATAAATTCATTTTTTTCGGTGGAGTCAAGTTTTTTCAATTTTTTTTTTTTTTTTGTAGTCCAAACTTTATTAACTAGAAATTTATAATACTGTATTACATATGCTTTACAAAAAGGAAAATTCTAGTCTTTTACTGCAAAGGCTGACTGTCAGATAATCTGTAACTATTTCAGTCATTCATACTTTCAATAAGCAACTTGTAGGAATAGTGTTTAAAGTCCTACTTTATATTTGAACAACAGATTTTTTTCTAACTTTTTATATGTAAATATTTCAACAGTGATGTTAGAGTGCTTTGCTTGCAACTGCCATTTGTTCCAGAAATATGACCTTCAAATTGGACAATAAGAAAATTGTCTTTAACCTTCTTTAAATTGTTCTCTACAGCTAAATACATTTTGGGAAAAAAATCTACTCATCTACTGGCTGTTAATCCTTCTGGCTTTATGGGTACTTCTCAGAAAATAATATGGTAAAATGTTGTATTCAACTCTTTATGTCTAAAATGCCATTAAATTGATTGTATATTTTATTTTATTTATTGTATTTATTAATATTATTTCATTTTTCTTTCTTTCCTTAAAAATTTTGAGTCAAATGTCTAAATATGTGATACATGTCTTTTAAAACTTAAGAGGAAAATACTTTAAAACAATTTTTGAATATGTGGAAGAGAAATGCACGTGTAACAAACCCCCAAAATATTAATTTTTAATTATTTTTTTCAACAGCAGTGTGGTATGCCTCTAGCTGAGTTTCCCTACCAGTGATATGTACCAGCGTACATTGTATTTTCACCTGCTTAAAGGCAATAAATGTTAACAGGCTCTTTGATACAATACTATTGAATTACAAGATCCAAGGTGAGGAGGTGCAAAAGCAGGGAATCTAAATATAATTGACAGTTTGGGACCTTTTTTTTTTTCTTTTTTTTTTTTTTTTAGGCAGGTAAGCAAGGGCTAAACAGAATTCTTATAACTCAGTTCTGTCAACAAAATAGGACTGCACCAGCACTTGTTTTTTGTAATTGGCAGGAAAATGTCTGAGATTTCTCATATCCTTTCTTCTGCTGAAAACAACTGTGCACTTCATCTCTATAATAACTAGGAATGCCCTAGGGTGAGAAGGGTTATGATAAAAGTTCCTGAATGTGGAAAGAAATCAATTTGAAATCAAGGTGAGATGAAGGGAAAAACTCTAGGTCACTTGCTTATGTTTTTAATAGCTGTCAAGTTTTGAGTAACATTTAAAAAAGACAGCTACTTTATAAAATCTGCCAAAATATCTCCAAATTTGTATCAGTCTTAAACAGGAACTAATTATTTTACTTTTAAAAAGGAATAAAACACTGCACTTTCCCAGCTTGTGAAGAGCAGACAAACACAGGTTTTTAAATTTTATTTTATTTTATTTATTTTATTTTAGAATGCTTGAATCCATGGGAAATCCTTAGAAGAGTTAAAACTGGAAGTCCTAATTACTATTGAGCAAGATTTTAAGAGTAGCATTTAAAAAACCACATATTTACTCTCACTAGATTTACATAACCTCAAAACTAAGTTTTAAAACATTATCTAGTTTGACAGTCTTCCAGGAGAAAGTTTGTATTTGAATAAAGCACATCCTAGCAGGCTGTATCAGAATGACAAAATGACTGAAGCAGAGACTCATTCTGAAGAAGAAAAGATACTTAGTTAAAAAAAAATTGATGCCCTAGATATTTACAGAAAGTAAATATAAATTTAAATAATGGGGAGGAGATTTAAATTTAAATAATTGCCAGGAAAAACCGTGGGAGATTTAAATGGCCCCTAGGGAGCGTGAGCCACCAGGAGGGCTGTGACCAGGATGAGCAAACAGGGAGCGGTGGGTCAGGGAGGATGAGCAGGAAGGGGGAGCAGGGAGGGCACTGCCATTTCAAAGAGAGGCTGAAACCCACTAAGGAGCTGAGAACAGCAGGAGTCATGGTCTCTACCCAGCAAAAAGCTGTGCCCTCAGTGTCTGTCGTGGCCCCTCCAGCTGCAAGAACCAATGCAGCCACACAAACAGAGCCCTCAAGGGAACATGTGGCCACCCAGGCCTCGGGCTGCAGGGTGTGCCCGAGTTTCAGGTCAGTATCAGATGACAGTAGTGAGCTCTTCTGTGGGAGATGTGCCCGAGTAAATGAGCTGCTCAGCCTGATGACAGAGCTTCAGGAGGAGTTGTCCAGGCTGAGGAGTATCAGGGTGTCAGCGGAGGAGATTGACTGATGGAATCATACGCTACTATCACTGAGACAGATGCACCAGCCAACCATGGCAGAGGAATCAAAGGTCCCCCCATCCTCTCTCCACCAGGCAGAGGGAAGACAGATACCCAGGAGACAGGAGATGGGGGAGAATGGAAGCAGGTTACTGCTCAGGGCAGCAGGCGAATCCACTCTCAGCCTGCCCCACCTACCCAGGTGCCTGTAAGCAACAGGTACGAGGCCCTGGAATTGGAAAGGCAGACAACGGATGAAGTGGATTTAGGTCCTTCTGGAATTGAGATATCATCTAGGCAGCCTGCCCCCAGCATCACAACCACTCATGCCAAATCAAAAAGAAAGATAGTTGTCATAGGTGACTCCCTTCTGAAGGGAACAGAGGGCCCAACATGCTGATTGGAACCAACCCACAGGGAAGTCTGCTCCCTCCCTGGTGCCAGGGTGAGAGACAGAACCAGAAAATTCCCTAATCTGGTAAGGTCCTCAGACTATTGCCTGCTGTTGGTTTTTCATGTTGGCAGTGAAGAGGTAACAAAGACAAATCCAAGGGCAATCAAAAGGGATTTCAGAGCCTTGGGGCAGTTGATTAAAGGATCAGGTGCTCAGGTAGTATTTTCATCGATTCTTTCAGTAGCAGGGAATAATATTGAATGGAACAGGCAGAGCTGGCTGATTAACAAGTGACTTCAAGGCTGGTGTCATTGGCTGAACTTTGTGTTTTTCAGTCATGGGATGGTTTATCCATTGCCAGGTCTATTGACATCTAATGGGATGAACCTTTTTCAGAAGGGGAAAAGAATTTTTGCCCAAGAGCTTGCAGGGCTGGTGGATAGAGCTTTAAACTAAATTGGAAGGGGGAAAGGGATAGCCTGTGACGAGCAACAGAATGGCTTGCTTCCTAAGTTCAAGGAGCTGAGTGCTGGTGGGATTCCTCAGACAGCTCCACAAGGTGATAGGCACAATGAGCCGCACCTGAAGTGCTTTCACACAAACACACACAGCATGAGAAACAGGCAAGAGGAGCTAGAAGCCCTGGACCAGTCCCAGAGATATGACATCACTGGCATAATGGAAACCTGGTGGGATGAGTCCTGTGAATGGTGTGCCATGGACATGGATGGACACAGGCTCTTCAGGAGGGATAGGCAGGGCAGGCAAGGTGGGGGCAGGGGGGTGGTGGTTGCACTGTATGTAGCAGAGGGACTGGACTGTGTGCAGCTTTCAGTTGGTGATGGCACATTTGAAAACCTCTGGGTAAGGATTAAGAGACAGACAATTAAAGCAGATGTCATTGTGGGAGTCTACTATAGGCCACCCAGCCAGCATGATGACATTGATGAGCTGTTCTTTAAGGAACTAAAGGATGAATCTAAGGCATCTGCCCTAGTCCTTATGGGGGACTACAACCTGACACATGTCAACTGGGAATACCACACAGCTGGTACAAACAGGTCCAGAGGATTCCTAAACCAGCTGGATGACATCTTCTTGGTACAGGTTCTAAGAGAACCAACCAGGAAAGGTGCCTTCCTTGACTTGTTACTTGTCAGCAGAAAGGATCTCATGGGTGAAGTGGCTATTGGTGGCTGTCTTGGCCACAGCGACCACGAAGCCGTCAAGTTCAAAATCTATGGTAGCAGAAGGAAAACTACTAGCAAAACCTCAACTCTAGATACAAGGAGAGTGGACTTCGGATAGCTCAGGGAACTACTTAGTAAGGTCCCCCTGGGAAAAAGCTTTTGAAGGTGCTGGAGTCTACCAGTGCTGGTCACTTTTTAAGTAGGAGTTTTTTAAGCTCCTAAGACCACAGGAGCAGGCAATTCCAAAATGTCAGAAGTCACACAGCTGAGGCAGAAGGCCACCTTAGCTGATCAAGGATCTTCTTCTAGAACTAAGGTGGAAAAAGACAGTGTATGGCCAGTGGAAGCAAGGTCAGGCAGCATGGAAGGACTACAGAAATACCATTCGCCACTGCAGGGAGGAAAACCGTGAACCTAAAGCTCAATTAGAGTCAAAGCTGGCTAATACTGTGAAAGACAATAAAAAGGGCTTTTTAAAATATGCCGATAGCAAAAGGCAGACCAGGAATAACACTGGCCCATTAACTGATGAGCAGAGTCACCTCACAAACAGGGACATAGACAAAGCAGAGACATTCAATGCCTTCTTCACCTCAGTCTTCAATACTGAGGATGGGCTCAGGAACCCCCAGAGCCCTGGGCTAGAGAACCATGACTGTGAGAATGATAAACTCTTTAATAGACCTGAACTTGTGCAGGATTTGCTGCTCCAACTGGATCCCTGTAAGTCAATGGGGCCTGGTGGAATCCACCTGAGGGTTCTTAAAGAACTGGCAGATGTCATAGTGAGGCCTCTCTCAATGATCTTTCGATGCTCTTGAGAATCTGGAGAGGTTCCAGTTGACTGGAAGCTGACAAATATTGTCCCAATTTTCAAGAAGGGCAACAGGGAAGACCGTGGTAACTACAGGCCTGTAAGTCTCACTTCTCTGCCTGGCAAAATTATGGAGAAGATTGTTCTTGAAGTTATCAAAAAACACCTGGAAGACAATGCAGTCATTGGTTCCAGCTAACATGGGTTCATGAGAGGAAATTCTTGCTTGACAAACCTAATTTCTTTCTATGATAAGGTTACCCACATCTACTTGACCAAGGGAAGCCAGTCGATGTAATCTTTTTGGACTTCAGTAAGGCCTTCAATACTGTCTCTCACAGTATCTTCCTGGACGAAATGTCCAGCATATAGTTGAATAAACACATACTGCAATGAGTGAGCAATTGGCTGATGGGTCAGGCTCAAAGGGTTCTAGTCAATGGGGTTATATTGGGCTGGTGACAGATCACTAGTTGGGTCCCACAGGGATCCATCCTAGGGCCGGTGGTCTTTAAAGTCTTCATCAGTGACTTGGATACAGAACTTGAAGGACTGCTAACAACATTTGCTGATGACACTAAATTGGGAAGAACTGTGGACACTCTCGAAGGCAGCTGCAGAGAGGTCTAGATAAATTAGAGAGCTCGGCAATCACCAACTTGTTATAATAGACCTCATTATCACTTACTAATCTTCGATTTCCTAAGTTGTTGAGATGTTTTTATTTTTTAAGAGGATGCATTATTTTTGAGTGTAAAAATAGACATACCAACTAACATCCTTTATAAACTTAGCAATCAATGGGAGAGCCTTGAGAGTTTTTTCCATGTTTTAGTGGAGTCCACCAGTTAATTCACATCCACTCTATGAAAGCTAATAACCTTACAAGTTTTGATTTGTTAGCTCCAACTTTTAGTATGGAAGCTAACTGCCCATGAAGTACATTATCCAAATTTTTTGCTATCAGTGCAATAATACCTAGACAAGGAACACTGTATAATGTCATTCAGATACTAGTTCATAAAATAGCTTAAGGATATGTAGGTTAGTTTGTTGTTATAATCCCCACCCCGAGAAAGACTAATGTGTTGGCATGTGGTTCGTCTTCAATACCACAAGAATTTTCTTTTCAGAGACCAAAACGTGAAAGGAAAGCTCCTTTACAAGTACCAATAAGCAGAAATAGTTGGAAAGATTTAATAATTATTAATATTATCACTAGCAGTCTTAAAAATTTTCCTCATTGAAAATTCTGGCTATTGTTTCTTATAAATAGAATCCCACAAGGATAGGTCCTGTTAAGTACAGGCATAATGGGATTTCTCTGATGAATTTTCCATCTGCTGGAGATGAGAATAAAGTATTTGGTAGTCTGTGATATTTGCTTACATACAGTAGAGGTGGGAATGAGTCTAAGGCTGAGCAAAATCACATGGATAGCAGGAGTAAGTTTTAACTTATAATTTTTGGATTACATATCAGGTAACTGGTAAATGCCAAGTCAGATTCAGTGGAAGCAATAACTGACATTTAATTAAAATTTAAATCCTTCAGAAAATAAGTAAATAGATAAATCTCTCCTAGGACCAATCTTTACTTGTATGTTAAGGCAAACCAACTACTCAAACATATCTACTTTAACCTTTGCAACCTGTACATATTTGAAGAGTTTATTTTTCCTTGTTCTATTTTAAAGCATACAGAAATAGAAAAAAGTCAAACCTTCGTGAAACATTTGAAAAGTACTTTCCAACTGAATGCTATAATCACACCAACTGTGTGGTACTGCCCTACTACATTGAATTTGCAGAATATCCACTTGCAAAATTCAGGCTACTGTAAATACAATGTGTAAAGCTTATATCAACAAGTCAGGAAGTGTCAGTGCTGCTAAACAAAGTAATGTCAGGTACTGTAAATACGTACCACTTAAGCAGTTCTGTATTTCTTCTTTGCTCAGCAACATTTTTAGAGTTGCAAAATACTTCTAAACACAATGTAGTGTCTAAAATTATTTCAATGCTGATTTTTATCTCTGCAAAATTTAGTTTATGACTCTGTAATGTGTACTATTATGCCTTAAAAACAAAGATTTTTTTTTTTTTAAATGACATGTGAAAAGAGTGGAGTTTAGCATCCATGATAATGTAAAATAGTACTGAAAAAAAAAAAAAAAAAAAAAAAAAAAAAAAGGAAAGAAAATAACCTCCAAAGAAATTGTCTTCTACAAACCTCTATGGAATTTTCAAGGAAATAATAAGTTGGCATTTCTTGGGGTAAAAAACATCTCTTTAATTTTATTATCACTTAGGCAAGAAAAATATGTTACTGGGCATTATTTTGTATTCAAAAAATGCAGGTATAATTGGATACCTTTCTACATAGTCCAGCAGTCGAGAACAATGGTTAGAAGCAGGAGCATCATGTCCTCCAACTGCGTAAAGAAAGCCATCACATGTAGCTACTCCTACACCTCCTCTTCTCTTACACATAGGAGCACACATATTCCATTTATTTGTGTGAGGATCATAATATTCCATTGAACTCAGACAGGAACTTCCATCCCGACCTCCAACTGAATATAACCTAAGAAAGTCCACACAAATAAAAATGTTAATAAAACAAGAGCTCAGAATTGTAGAAATAAAACCAAAAAGCATCTGGTCTTTTATCTGACATCAGCAAATAGGAAAAAAACATATAAATCTCTCGAATTCATACGAATTTCATATGGTCAGCAAAAATAGTTTATTTTAATATTATTACCAAATGAACATATTACTTAATGCTTTGCTCACCTGAATAGAAAAGAAGAAATTTTAATTTTGGTCATTAATATTTTCATTATTCGATTACAGCATATACTGCAAAGAGTGCCAAAAGTGACATGCAAATTTGTCTCTGTAGATTTATAAAACATTTAAGCAGAGTTGCCGTCTAACTGCTCATCAGGTGACAGTGGAAATGTTAACTTATAATTGGTAATCCAGACAAACAAGAAATACACAATCTGTTCACTATAGTTTTTCTGTGCTTTTATTGTGCTTCTAAGTAGTGGGAATTAGACTGACAACTGCTGTCCTGTATTTTAATATTCTATTTTGTGTCATTCTTTAACACTGAACAGGTTCACAAGCTTCTAATTCTCCATTCTTGAAAAAAAAAAAAACCCAAAACAAACAAACAAAAAAACCCCCCACAAAACCAAAAAAACCAAGCAAGCGAACAAAAAATCCCAATACTTCATTAATTTCTGTAAGCTAAAGTAAAAACTATATGGAAAACTGTAGTGAGTCTTTGATCTAGTGTTCAGTCTATTCCATATACAAAAGTGTCAATGGAAGGCTCATGTCCAGAATGAATTTAACACTTACAGTATAGTAGATATCAAATATGCAGTGCATTGCAGAAAATTGTATTTTAAACATGGATTTTTAGAAAGTACTGCCTTGGTTTCAAGAATCTTGGTTATACTGAAAAAAAGAATTGCTCACACTAACATCAACATGTCTACTCAGCAAGTAAGAAAATACTATCCTCAGGCACTGTATGTTGATTTTCTTCATCAGAATTTATTATGAGGATTGAGTTCTGCACGGAAGTCATGGAAAACTTCTGAAAAGATTCTAAATTCAAAACAGTGAAAATGTGATTTAAGAAAAAATGTCTTGTGTTTGTAACGATCTGCAGACAAGAAACTTCTTTCCTTCCTCCCTTTATAATGGTTCCCAGGAGGCAACAGTTCTGATTGTTCTTTCCCACTATTACCATGATGCATTCATTTCTTAAATGAATCCTTTTGCAGTCTGTTGCCTTTTCTACAGTGCCTGGAGATTAACTAATAGAAACACAGGCTATTTTAGAGTCCAACCACTGAGCAATTTACGATGCAAAAGCTGTCTGTGTGAAGCAATTATTCATTTGGAAGCTTTTACTGTCCTAAGCGCTCCATGAATTCAGAGCTACTTAAATGTGCGTTTACCATTACGTTTCATTGGCATGGATGCTGATGAATAAGGAAGTACCATACTACCACTAAATGTGTCCCTAAAGCCATGGAACATTTTGGTACTTCCTGACAGACATACTTGTGCTCTGACTAATATAGTCAGGAGAATCCATGCTCCTCTATGAGAGATGTTAAAGAAAATACAATTTTTTTGCAACTATTTCTGTGGATCCAGCCTAACACATTTACCTTTCTATGATTATCAGATATCTACAGGTGGGATTCAATTTGAGATGAAGACACCTACATGTAAGTGTTAATCTATGAGTGTCTACAGTGTCTAAATTGTTGTTGTGCTTAGGGTAGTCAGCTGAGCTTAAAGAACAATTTGGTTCACCAGCCACTGCAGAACACCACTAAGAAAAATTAAACATGTGGTCCAAATACATTAGCATTAATGTAAATATAACCATTTATATGTAAGCACCTGCAAGGATGTTATCTTTATTTTCAAAGATGGGACTTGGTCACAGACAGTGATCCACAGACAGTGATCAAATGTTATTTGTGACATCCAGGGTATGGTGACATTCCCTGCAGCCTGGCAGATATGGCAAAGACTACACAGGAGAACCATGCATGATTGCTGGAGGTCAAGTAAGCAATCCTGATGCAATTCAAATGGCAGTAGACAATTACATGTAGATAAGTGAAATGTTCCTTAAAAATGAAGATCATGGTTAACAAGCCTGAGATTTCCAATTCAGTGTGAATAATAATGTGCTTCCCTAGTCTAAATACCTGCCACTTTGTTTATTTCTTCTGGCATTAAATGTTCTCATCTATTGCATTCTCTTTCAACTGAAATAAACCTATAAGCTGATATTACCATACTGAAAGTGAAGCTCACTTTTTCATTCCTCTATTTCAGTTAAGACAGCTAATAAAATATAGCTAAAGGCATTCCTAAGTTGCTGGTAAAGAGCCAGCAAACACTGTTCATAAGTAACTGATAAAAGTTTCAGTCAGTGGTTGGGACCACCTAGTTTTTGTTAAAATGCTTGATGCTATTCAGAGCAAAAGTACACTAATTTCTAAAATCCAATTTTGTAACTGTCATTTTAGTATTTGATTGTGTTTATATCTCAGCAAGGACTAGCTTATACGACTAACAATAAAATTTTATTTCACAAAGGTCTAGTTCAGAAAAATAAAAGTTGGAAATCGAATAATTGTCTTAAAGCTCTGGCTGTGGCTGAGCCGGAACACCTCAGTCAGGAACTGCTTCCACTCTTCAGCCAAGTTTCCTAATCCATAGTCACAAAGGCCCAAAATGGCCCAGAATAACTCTGCAATCAGTGCTGAATATTCAGGATACTGTACAGCTAACTGAAACTTTTGCAATACTTCTTTCCAAAGATATTTATTAGTCTTACTTCCTTCTTAGTGCTCAGAGTCCTATTTTATTAGATTACTTAGAATTAATGCAATTTGCAGCTTTATCTTTCTTGGTAACTAATTAGAGTAAAATTTTCTGTAGGGAAGAGTATAACGTATTTCTCTAAAAAAAATGAAAATCTGGAATTACTGATCAGATATCAGTCCTGCAACTGCAAGGGCTAGTCTTCTTCCTCTTAACTATATTCAATTCTATGACTTCAGATACCAGGTACCACCTCTGCTCTGGATGATTTGTAAGTGGATTTTAATTTTCATGTGCAAGTACCTTCAGAATTCAGAGATGAAAGATAATTCAGTAAGTCTGAATTTAGCAAATTTTAGTTCCTGAAATTGTTTTATTTGTTAATTTCACATTGATAACATATAATATTATCTTAGTAATTTTATCTTACCTTATACACTACCTCTATCTGTTCTTTCACTGTACATCTACCATCAGAATAGTATATATACTATCCCATCAAACACATAGCTCATTTTTTTTTCTATTTCTCCCATATTACTGGTGTCTGTAGACCTCTGGTTGATGTTGTATCTCTTAATAGCTTTTCAGTATCTACAGTATTGTAAGACTTCTATTTTTAACACTGTGCAATTAAAAAGAAAGCTTGAGAAATAAGCATAATCATGATCACATAATAGTAATACCTTCATTAATTTTTGAGTTGGGAATATTCTATTAACTGAATTTCACCTCCTTATGTATGCCATCAAAACTGTTGGGAATTCTGTTATAATTATCACTTTTTGGAGTGGAAAATCAACAAGGAAAATAAAGCATCCAGTACTGAGTACTTTTATCTCCATTGACGACAGTGAAAGTTTTGCCTGTGGAAAAGTTATAGATTTATATTCCCCAACAGTCTGTATTTCATCTCATTCAGACACTGTTCATAGATATTAATTCAGACCAAACTCAGTCTCCCCTGAGCTGGAAATTTGTCTTTTCAGTGTTTGGCCACTTCTTTTTGTATTAAGATGGGTAGATATTCCTAAATGTTTGTGTGTATATACATATATATATATGTATGTATAAAATGGCTAGAAAATGCAGTAGGGGTTTCAAAGTAGGAGACATAAAGAGGAATCATGACGGGCTGGATCAAAAGCATTTATCTCAGTGCTATCATTACAAACCTTTGATAACTAATCAGAAAAGCCATTTTTAAATTCAGTTTGACATGCCAACCTCAAAAGATCAGGCTGCCTTTGATGTGAGATAGTATGGCTTGGGAAAACAGTTGAATTGTGCCTTTGCTGCGTTTCTTAACGAGACCGTGTCTTTCAAAACTCTCTCGCTGTGAATATAAAAGACCTTACCGAGTCTTTTGCTTAGGCCCCTTTGCACCTTTTTCTGACCTTTCAGTGTGCCTGAAAGAACAACAGAAATTACTCTGTCACAAAGGATATCTGCCTGGTAGAAGTAAGGGGAAGTTAATAATTTTCATCCATGCTGGACTTCTGTATCAGTCCATACCTGATAGAGGAATCAAACTGTAGGGAGAGGAAAGGTGTCTATCCATGCTGTCTTGGTTATGCCAAGGAACAGTAGTTCACTGGCAAAAGTTGAAAATATTACAATTTTCTGAATAGAAAGCATTAATGAAGTCTTAATTCAGTGTGTAAATTTGGAACGATATTTCATGTTTTGGTGTAGTAATGCAGGAGTGGAGTAAATTAAAAATATATGCAGTTTGACCAACAAAAAAGTGAAGAAAAAAAAAGGTCATTGAGTAAATGCCTACAAGTAAAGAAATAGTAACTACCGATAGAAAATATTGAGAGAAAAACACCCCTTGAATGGATAATTATGACAAAGTTCTAATTCCTACACAGGAAAGTATATTTTCCTAACAGAAAGAACCTGTTTCAAGTAGATTTAACTCTAATCAAATTATATGGGCTGCATTATCTTTGCAAGACCAGTGACTGAATGCAGATTCCACCAGTTAAAAATGTTCTTGACTGTATAAGATTGTTAAGGCAAAATAGTCTTTGTAAATTAATAATTTCCTGCAGCATGAGCTTAAAGCCCTTTATTTGCCTTCTTATTTATTAAAAAAATACAGTGAATATGTCATTAAATAAGAAATTGTTATTGGATTCACAGAATGGCTTTGTGCTAGACTGAGCTAATGAGTTTATGTCTTTCATTTTATTCTGTCTCAGTATACATTTATTGAATGATTCTGACTAAAATAATAAAAAATATCTATAACTTTTTGTAGCTTCTACAGTTAATGGAGAATATTTTAAAATCCTGTCCCTTTTTCCCTATAGCAGGAGGCAAAATAATTGCCTTTTTGAGAAAAAGATTTTGATCAAAAGCAGCAGTTAATAAATAGCACATTTATAAAACATCAGCTGTGTCAAAACTGTCATAAAAGAACTAACATTCTCTGATTCTGTGATTCTGTGAACCTGAAATAACTTCTAGAGAATTTAAATTAAGGTATAAATTTATTATACGTCAATGTACATTTAGAGTAAAATATAGTAAGAACAGAGACATGATTTTAAAAGTTGCTACGAAAAATTCTAAGGCTGATAACTTGTGATTTAATTTTTGAAATATGTTTGTTTCTCTCCTCATTGCAAAAGAGTTTTGTAAAATTAGTTAACACATAAAATATCTAATAACTACTTAATATCATCCTTAGTCAAATTTCATTTTACTCTTTAGTTTGGTAGATAATAAAAGATCAGTTATGGAAACAAACATGTGAAAGCATGAATTTTTTAATAAGAAAAAAACTGCTGTATTTCAGTATTAGGCAAAACATTAATGTCATTCATAAAATATTGATTTAAAAGTATTTGTTTGCAGTCAGTGAGAATACTGTGGGCAGAAAGAATGCAGTATGAAACATATTTTCTCTCTTTACATGACAGTAATTATGTATGCCAAGTATAGTATTTTTCTTAGTTCAAATGGATTAGTAAAAGAATAACTGAATCACCAAGAAGGCACAAGAGCAAAGAAACCCTCAAGCAAAAAAAGCCACGAACAAAACTGCTCTGATGGGAAATATAATTGTTTCAGACATACTTTCTTATATTGTTAGCCTGGCATGAAATTTTGGAGTGTTGCTTCAGCTTTAAAAATCACAATCACAGCATATTAATATTTCATTTATTTAATAATATTGAGCCAATTCCCTAGTTTTTACTGAAGTATGAAAATTATCAGTGCATTGCAATTATATGGATGACTTGAAAAAAGTCTTAGATCATTTAGTCTGTGACCTTCACAATGAATAAATCCTTCTCAATTCAATGAATTCAACCAATAATGAAAGATTCAGCAGAAGATGGTCTACCAAGTCAAAGGACATTTCATTTTACCCCAATATTAGTTATTAAGAAGTTAATCAAGTTTCAAATTAGAAAAATAGAAATATCAGTTAAGAGTGGAGATGGCATGTTATTCTGTTCTGCTGAGTAGGGCAGATACTTGATAGCTGCTGTAAGGGCTGTTGCCCATAAAGATATTCAGTTGAGTATCAAGTTAGATATTTAGCTTTATTTCATTTAAATAAGATTAGACATTTAAATATTCTTCCAGATTTCCACAT